GCATCACAGTCTTTTCTCCTTCTCACCTCACCCCACCAGCACAGGCTGGGGGTGCTCAAGGAGTTGGGAGGGGACACAGCTGGGACAGCTGACCCCCGCTGACCAAAGGGACATTCCATACCATAGGGTGTCATGCTCAGCATACAGAGCCAAGGGAAGATGCAGGAAGGGGAGAATGACTGGTGATATGGGGTTTGTCTTCCCAAGTCACAGCTACCTTTGATGGAGCCTGGCTTTCCTGGAGATGGCTGAACACCTGCCTGCCCATGGGAAGTGGCGAATAAATTTCCTGGTTTGCTTTGCTTGCATGTGTGGCTCTTGCTTTACCCATTAAACTGTCTTAATCTCAACCTAAGAGTTTTCTCACTTTTACTCTTCCAGTTCTCTCCCTCCTCCCACTAAGGGGAGAATGGGTCAACAGCCATGTGGGGCAGAGTTGTTGACTGCAGTTAAACCATGACAACATTTGATTGTCAAAGGAAGATACCGATTGAGAGAGGGCATGTAAGAAGAGAATAGGGAGGTACTGTGGCATTATATTTTATATGTAGATGAATAGAACACATAAGCTTACTAGTACTACATGCAATTTATGTTTAAATCATGTCCAATAACTGTGAAAATAATTTACGTCTTAATAACAGAAGCCCAGCCAAGACCAAGATCTTTTATTTCCACAGGTTTGGCATTTATTTTCCTTATCCACTGATGACTTTGAGAGATGGTACACCCTTTGGGAGACAATTCTTTTCCACTGCATCTGAGGTCCAGCTACCATCTGATTGCCATGTAACAATTAAAGCTGAAACCTCCTTCTCTGCAGAGTTCTAGTACAAGGTCTGTGCACTATGACAAGTTCAAAACTGACACTTTTATAGCATTTAATTTAAAAAATCATGGAGATAATAATTTGGGGGTTCTGACATTACCTTGCACCTCCAAAATAACCATCCTCTAATTTTCTTATTGTGGCAAGAACTGCTGGATGAATGTCAGTACCATCATCAACTAAAAAAGAATAATGGAAGAGATGAAGCTAACCAACACATTCTTAAACTGCCATGTCCAAACAAAGTGAATTACTGGGTGTTCTCTAAAACCCAAATCAGACAAATTTAAAACAGAATCCCAAACTGATATCAATACTAGCTTATTCAAAAATCCCAAACAAACATGCAAACAAAACACAAGACAAGTTCTAAAGACAAAAATCAACCCACTCAAGACAAGTTCCAAAGGGATTTCTATGAAACTTCTTTAGACAGAAATACTTTGGAGATGCAAGGATATAAAGGGGGGTAAAACTAAAATGAAATACTACCATGTCATCCAAATTCAGCATGGAAAAAATGAAACTGTACTTCTGAAGTTAGAAGTCATGCCACCTGTCTCCTCTCAAACTGATGTCCATCCTATTCCCCTGCAGTAATATACTCTGCTTGAGACAGAGAAAATTTTTACCAAGCATTGTGTGAGTGATGGGAAACGTCAGGGTTGGTCTCCCTGTCATCCTCCAACAAGAAGTGAGGTAAGCCAGTTCTGTCTTGAGCATCTCCACAATCATCTGATTGTCTAGAGCCAGATAGAAGTGATGCTGGTCAGCAAACTAAAGAAGAGAAAAACATGACATAGGAGCAGTTCTCAGTGCTTTTCTTATTTTTTTCTACTTCCCCTCTTAAATCAGTCACAAAAGCCATACGAGCTACTCCTGACCACAACACAAATGGCACGAGACTGTGAAAAAAGAAATCCATGCTTGTGCAAGGGTCCATTTTTCTACACTTGTAGACTGACCATCAAAGTGAGCCATACAAAAAAAAAGTAGGCAATCACACCCATGAAGCAGAATCTTCCCAATGCCGAATTATACTATCCTGTGATCTGGAAGATGGGAGTACTCTAAACATGGAAGAAAAAGTTAACAATAGCAACAAAAACAATAAACAGGCTTAAGGGCACACTGGGGACTGGGAGCCAATAACTGGATGTCTCTTGGGAACAATCTGAAAGTCAAGCAGAATACAGAAAAGCTGGCAGTTACTGTGGGAAAAAGGTACATTAAATGTACAGTGGCAAAGTATGCTGTTCCCACTTACAGCAGAAAGCCAAGAACCACAGTAAGAGACTAACGTGGCTTCTTCAGGAGCTGGAAACAAAAAAGCTGGACAAATAATGGCAAGTATGTCAAAGTAGCCACAACAAAAGTTAAGGAAGCCCATAAGCCTCGAGGAGGGGCAAACACGTAAAGAGCATGTAAATTCAGGCTGGTAAAGTCCAGAGAAATTACTTCATAGAAAGAATTAAGAACTAGCCAAAACAATCCTTGAGCCGCTCGCAATTAGCTTTGGTAATTCAGGTGATTCAGGAAGAACAAGAAATCCAGAGAGAAGAAAACACACTGCCTGTCTTTAAAAACGAAGAGCCATTTTAAAAGTCAGGCCAATTCCAGTGCCTGAAAGCATAGGAAAGCAAAGCCAATTTGAGACAGCCAAGATAATTACAAAATGATAAAGCAATGTAGCCAAAAACCAATCTCAGCAAATTAGTCCAATTTCCTTCTTTGGAGCAATCAGATGGTAGCTATAAGAAAATGGCTGACATCTCTCAACTTTTGCAAATTTTCACACTACTGAGCTGAAGAAAAAACATCCGAGAAGGCAGAACTACTTTTAAAATTGTTGTCAGAAGATAGTTCTTAACCGTTTTTTCAGAATGACAGTGTATCTGAATGGAGTCAGCCTTTGCCCCACACCTAATCAATATTTTCATAGAAAAGAGAATGAAATACAAACGACAAAACCACATAATTTGTGGACACTTGTCAAGATCAATAAGAGGACTTAACTGCTGGCCATAGGAAAGTGACATTAAACATTAACTCCATCCACCTCAAAAAAAAAAATCTCAGGGGGAATGTCTGGCTACAAAGTACAGTGGAAAATGTTATGGAGGTTTTAGTCAAACACAGAATAAGCAGGAACTGTCACTGTGTTGCTAATGTAAAGATAAATGCAATTTTGGAATATACTAATAAGTACGTCCATACTTGATACATGGCAAGACTTCAGCTGGAATATTGGGTCCTACTTACAAAGTAAGATGTCAATGAAGAGGTATTTTGAAAAAAACCATGTCTCTAAGGAATTTTTCCCTTAATTGCAAAGGTGAAAATTGATTTAGGGGAGTAACACAGCAAATAACATGCTATAAAGCTGCTTGTGATCAAGTGATGTGGGGAAGAATGACAAGGGAGCTACATTTTTTTGTAGTAAATCTGGTGTTGTTTGGGCATTATGAAGCACTACAGAAGCATTCTACAGAGTCCACTGAATGTCTTCCACTAGAGTTTAAAGACTACATTAGTCAAACATCTACTCAGAAGGGTGGAAACATTCTTTATCCTGCTCCAGTTGTACATGCTTGGAGCAGGTGACTGGCCTCCTAGTACCAGCTGCTAGAATAACTCTACTGGAATAAGTGTGTTGTATTTCATTAAATGTAAAAATAAGAGCCACTGATTCTGTGAGGATCCAAACTTCCAGCTACACTGAAAAAATGCACTAAAGTGAAAACAAAGACAGAACATCCCTTTCTCAGCACTACCGACCCTTTCAACAATATAATGAAAAGATCACATCTTCATCACTTGGGGGTTACAGTACTTGGCACCCTTATGTGGTGCTAAATTTTTCAATAAAGCAATATTAAGGGATGTATTTCTGCAGAAACTATTTCATTACCTAGAACATTGGTTTCGGCAGAGATCAGTAACAACTTTGTACTATTGATTTTCTGTGTTCTCCTAAGCCAGAAGTCAAAGAAGCCAAACTCTGTAGGACAGAAGAGAGATTTATCAGCAGTTCTACCATGCTGATTATCCATCACTCTTTAAAACCCTGCAAAGCAAAGCACATCTGCTGCATCAGCCCTATTCTACCTAAAGTACAGTGACAGCACACAAAAGCGAAGTGCTTCACTAATGATTTGCCATTAAATAAGGAGTGATGTTCCTGCCAGCTTTACATACTCACCTGTGGGGTAAAAGCAAATATTTGATTTCTTATCACATACAGCTTGGAGGTGCCTAACACTCCAATGTGTCGGTGTGGCCGTCCACTTAATTTCATCTTCTTATTCCGGCCTGTGAAGAAAAGAGAAAGAAAAAAGGTCTCAGCTAGAATTTGCTGTGTGGTTTTCCAAAATAACCATTTCAGACAGCAAAATCTACTTCACAGCAAGGCAGAAGACAGGTAACAGAGTGAGATCCTACACACTGGTCGGTTTTGTAGCAACCACCAATAAAACAGCCAGAGGCCTTCAAAGGCCTGATTAAAAATTTAAATTTTGGCTCCAATGACCATGGAATTGGGTCTTATAATTACAGTCATTACCCAAAGCTTCCCCATCAAGGACAGGAGGTGTGACATTACAAAAACCAGGCCATCAACATACCACAGAAATTGCAGTGCTTTCACTATAGAACCTTAAAAATTCTTGTCTGAAGAAGGTTAAATCAACATGCAAAGTACATCCAAATACAAACACAGATTTTCATCAGGCTAATAAGCTCCACTTTTCCCACTAGAGCTTATTAGCAAATGATCTGCACTACAACCTTTGCACCAGCAGCCAGGAGCTGACTTGAATCTGTCTGACAAGGAATATGAGCCAAACAATCCTGTGTCTGAAAAAATACCAGTGTGAACATTCCCAGAGAAGTCACTGTTAAAAACAGTGTATCAGTGTGCCACATCATCCTACTCACAATCCCCCATTAGTGAAAGAAAGCTATTATGAATCATAATGAAATAAATATAAGCTTCAGCAAAGCCCTGCAATTGTTTCATTTTTTTAAAGAACTTTGTGATAAAAGAGACAGATTCTTTCCCAAAAGCAGCATATACCATTTCCTTTCTCTGTGTAAAGGGCATACTTTTTGAAACTTATTTGAAGGCCCCGTTACTTTGGATGCTTCCAAAATAAGCTTCGTATTAAATGAAAAAAAACAACACCCACAAACCAAAAACTACCACAACAACAAAAAAATGTTCATCTAATCAGCAGCTTCTTACTTCTCCCTCAGCATTATCTGTAACCAAATTGCCATGGAAACATGCTTCAGGCTGATAAAGAAGCACGATAGTGCTCCCCTTGTCCACACTGTAAAGGAATCTACCAGTGCTGATTCACTCCCCCTCAGTTTTACTTTGTAGTAACATCCACAGTTTTGAGTCATGAGTTCTGGCATGCCTGAAGAAGTAAAACTAAATTCAATTAGGAATACATGTAACAGGTTTTCCAGCATGACCCAAATAATTCCAGCAAGGATTATCAAGTAACAGCTATCAAAATATTTTCAACTACTAGATCCAGTTGGAGTTTGGGGGCTTTTATTTAATTCGGCTCTCAGGCTCTGTGGAAAACAGGACTTGAGGACCACTGCTGAGGAACTGGAATGTACTTTCAGTCCCAAGCTTAAAAAAACTCTAAAGGTTTCTGGGTTTGCAACTGAGACAGAGAGTTTCAGCAGTTCAACTCAGCTCAGGGTTAGAAGGAGCTTTAGCAAGAACTGGACAGCCCAAAGATGCTCTGATAGCAGCAGCATGGCTTCCCTGATTTGGAGCAGAAAACTTCCCAGGCTGCCTGCTGGGAGTAATGGCAATAACACTGCCCGTTTTCCAGACTTAAAACAGAAATACTCTGACTTCTGAAAGGAGAAACACTTGATTTTTTTTCTGTATTTTTCCAGGTATTTTTAATAAAGTCGGTTTCTCTGTTGAAGTAGTTTCTGGAGGACAAAAGAAGAGTCAGTTCTTGCCTAACTCCGAGGGCACGGGGAAACTGGTACTTTCACCACTGTTTCTGATGAGGCAATTTTTTTTCCTGTTTGAGTCCCTTATTTAAGACAGAAGTTCTAAGTTTGTTAAGCTTCTTTGCACAAACACATTTTTTTTTAGATCAGAGAAATTGATTTAAATAAAAGAAATTAAAGAAATTGAGACAGTATGAAGCAAGAAAAACAAAAAACAAAACATGACCCTTAAAATAAGACCTTGCACAGCAGTAGAGAAGCTCTCATGTTCCAATACTAACCCAGCATGGTGTAGAGGTTACTCAGGATGCGAGCTGGCTGCACTCTGAGAGGATGGATATCAGCAATGCTCTGGACATTGATGCCACGGTCTTGCAAGAGGTTCTTAATATGATTAGATTCTGCTAAAACAGTTACTGCATAACAGAAAACAAAAACACTACTAAGAAACAATGTTCTACCCTTTTTAGTTGACTATCTCTACTGTCACCTCTCAACTAATGCATTTCGTTAACTAAAAAGGCCCAAAGACCTCACATCTTTCTTAATTTATGAGCCCGTGAGAACAAAAGGGATTGCAAGAGGGCATCAGACAGATTTTGATTTTCTGCTTCTCAATATTTCTTGCTACTCCTGTCCACTTTGGACCACATGGTAATTCAAGTTGGAAGGGTCCTCGTGAGGTCTCTACTCAAACCTCCTGCTCAAAGCAGGATCAGACCTGCTGAGGTTACAGCAGATTCTTTGAGACTTTATCAGTTTCTTCTTATTTCTTTCAGTTCCACCAGTTTGGATCATGCAGTAGCTTTTAGCAGATAAGGCTTTTACCCCATAGAACAAGAGGAAACACAACTTGAAAATCTTTGTGGTTTTAACACAGCACAATGTAACAATACAGCCAAATCCCTGGGGAACAGGTGCTGTTACTTGTATAGCAATAAGTGTTACAAAGGACATAAAATGGCAGAGGTAAGGAGAAAAAAAATTCCCCAAATCAGTGGAATTTACAATCCAGACCCTGAATCCATCTCTTGTCCCACTTGACATTTCGCCCATGATAGGTGGCTTGTTGGTTTGGGACTAATAATTCAGTATTGTTCCTTGTATTGTGAATAATTGTCAAAGAATGCTAAAAATAATCCTCTACTTCTACTGGAAATTAAGCACTTCAAAATAACAAAATGCTACCGCCATGAGACACCAACAGGGGACAAACAAGCACCAGCCCAGGTCACAGTATCACTGATAAATGCTGCTCCTCATAAACAAGCTGGTTGCTCTTTCAGAGCAGTACAAGCCCTTGAAAAGTTTTAAAGACCTGATCAGCTGGTGTTTGCCCTCATCTTAATTTTCTGGTTTTGCCTGTTCCTGCACTAACTGAAGAAGCCACTTCCTGCAGCAGCCAAAAGCCAGCCCTAAGTCTGGCTGCCTCACCCCTGTGGACAGGGATTCTCCCCACCCAGTGCTCTGCAGTTGCTCTGGGAAAGGGCTGCACAGAAACCTAATTAAACTGATCCATGTCCAGTCAGTCCTGCTTTTTCTTTTCTAGAATGCATCAAGCTTCTCCTTTTCTCTATAAGATTAAGTTTTCCACTCTCCAGTCCCTGACGACTTAAAATTTTAGCAAGTTTTTTTTTTAAAGAAGTGTGTTAAACCCCTTTCTCTGTCTACAGTTTCATTAAAGCATCTGTGTCCCAAGCAAAAATCCACTTATTTTTAACATATCTTTCTTCTCTCCTGTATTTAGGGACTTTGTCACCACACAAATCAATTCACCCAGAATGCTGAAAAAACTCCTTCACCTTGTACCACAACATCAGGTTTAAATCCAGTGGAAAATCTCCTGTTTAAGGGATCAATTTCACCTGCAGCAAGAAATCCCTAGAATAAATGCAAAAGAAAGAGAAAAGAAAGGAAACAAAGAGATTTGAAATAAAAGGCTTCTGATATCTAGAATAAATCTTAACCAATTTTTGAAGTATTTTTTCAGTACAGCAGGATTTAAGGCCTGGTTTATCTACCCTGGCCACCAAGTAGTACATTCAATAAGAACAAGGGATGCACTATTTTTTGGAACAACAAGAAAATGGTTCTGACACAATCTGCATATTCAGATTTCCTATTTTAGAGTTGCGGCAACTGACAACATAATTTAGCCAGGCCAGTGATTTTCTTTGTAGCTACACAGAGATATTCTGTAGTTCCTCTAACTAGTCTGCCTAATACGGGACAACTCAGTAGACACATTATGCCACAGAGTAAGGAGCTGAAACAGCACAAAATCCTGGCTCTGGAACAGCCAAATCAGCCTTGCCTTGGTAGAGTCCTCTATCCTAACCCTAAATCCAGTCCATCTGACAACTTATTCAGCTTGATTAGAAACAGACAGTTGCATGTCTATATAAAAAAAAAAAAAAAAAAAAAAAGCTCCTGAAATCTCAGTCACTCAGTCACCCTTTCATGGCTCTTGTACTTGTTTCTACTGGAAAACACATTGTCCCTATCTGACAACCAAATTGTACTTAAAGCTCAAGCCATCTCAAACAAAATGAAATACATGCTTACCTACTATACAAGAAACAATTACCTCTGCTAACAGGCAGCTCAGGACATACAATGATTGGCCCCAAAGATGTGGCAACTTTCCCACTGGGACACGATCCACTGAGTGAGGATTTTCATACTCCTCATCCACCTGAAAACAAATACATAAGCAAGAAAAATTGCCCTGAAGTTGTGAAGAACAATTGGTAACATGTAAGTACTTGAAAACATATGCTCTATCATCTACCCTTGTTAACCTGCCATTATTACTGACTTAAACACCTCTTGATTTTACTTTTAAGGCTGTACATTTTTTGGGACCGGAACTACGCTTCCTTTTTGTACTCCGCCCAACCCTTCAAAGCTGGAGGATGAATAGGGACTCTGCATGCAATTATAGCTTCGGTGTTAGCTCTTCCACTTTCTTCTCATCATGCCTTTGCTGCCTTCCCTCTGAGCTGCTCATAGGTAACTGGATGTCTGCTTTCCAAACCCTTCCAAGATGACACTTTAACTTCACTGATGTCTACCTAGCTTTCTAAAATAAAGCTGTTTTCCAAAAATTAAGGCTATTCCACCTTGTGTTAGCAAGGATGGCCAATGCAAAAATTAAGAGCAGACTTATAATTTAGAAAAAGAACAACTGCCTTGGTTTTGCAGTATACAGACCTACTGAGGGCAGGGGGAAAACCCTCCTACATTACATCTTTACATAGACAAAATCTACCCTGTTTATTTGGCATGTTTGTCAGATTATTATCATCATATCAAAATTCACAAGAAGGCTCTGAACTCTTACACGCTTGTTCCCACTAGGAAGGCAATTTAGAGTTTCCACCTGCGAGCAAGACATCAGCTGTCGGCTGACCAGCTCAGACCAACCCAGGAGGCTCCACACCCTTAGTGAGTGAGGGCTGAGAAGCCTGGAGTGGGAGAAGAAGTTGGCAGGGAGGGATACAAAGGCAAATAGCATGGAAGAGCACACGAGCTCATCTGAATTTCTCTGTCACAATGGGAGAATCAGATAAACAGTAACAGCAAAGATGGGGGAAAAAAAAATACCCATAGAAAACAAACAAAAATCCCAGCCCAAATACTAATCCGTCTGAAGCCTGTTTCTGTCTCCCATACAAGCTCTGGAAAAGAGCAGCACAATCAATCAATAGACTAGACAGAAAAGACAGTCTATGCTTTATTTCTTCATTGAGCTTGAGTTCCTAAGTCAGTATCAACACTTCTTAAATGTGTATGTTGCTACAAGCATGTAAAATTTTAGACATGCTCTAATATTTTCACAGACACTCAGATTTCCAAGGAAGAAATGGGGCAATGTGGAAACCTAAAATTTATCATTTCTCAGCAGGAGCTGTGAGAGGTCTCTTACTTTTTCAAATAATGTGCAGTAGTCTTTTTTCATTTTCAGATACAGGAAAAACTATAAAACCATTCCTCTTGCTATCTCTACATTGCACCCCAAATTGGATGCTGCATTTTCACAATACCTTGTCTGGAGGGACTGCATACAGTTCAGGCATTAGCACTAATCCATTCTTCTCTCTAATAAGTATTCCTTCCAGAGCCTCTCTGTACTCTTGTACCTGGAAATATTTTTAAATAAAAGTAAGAATTCACATTACAGTCAGCAAAACCGAAACAGTAAAGTTTTACCAGTTTCCAACCATACTTTTCTGATGAATATTCATATATATTAAAAAAAGGGGGGGATCATGATTTACTGATGGAAGAACAGGGTTCAAATTATCAGAGACTGTTCCAGCATCTCAATATTATCAGCCTTAGAAATATGAACACTCGTCTTTAATCTGTAATGTACCTCTGCAGCACAAAATGTCTAACACATCCCTATAAAGAAGTCATTGGAACAAATCCTACATGAAATTTGCAAAGGATGACAATGTAGGACATGGCCATCAGATTGCCAATATCCATCAGAGTGCAAGGTGTATAAATTGTCAGCTTTCTACCATGCATATTGCCTATGACTTACTGAATTCCGCTTTGCAGGATTGGGAAATCAGTTTCTCTTAACTGATTTGCTTAAAAATTTGTCCCATGGAAAGCTTAAAATTGATTTAAACTGTTTAAAAATATCTAAGTTCACTGAACAGAAAATCATTTTCTTGTATGGTTAGACAACAAATCACAAACATGAGCAGCAGATTGATACAAAATAAAGAACAGGTAATATATTTTCTTTTTACCAGATTCCTTATTTGTTCCATTTCTCAATTATCCCATTCCAATTTTTTTACTTAGAGGGAATCTGTTTTCAAGCACTAACAGTACCTGACTCTGAAATCCTATTTCTGCTATTCCTGAGTACAGGGGACCACACAAAGTAAGGAACCCACAGTTTCACATTATGGTACACTCACATTTTCAGTATCCTGTCCTTCTCCACTATTTTTGAGTCCTTAGGGTGCTTGTTTTTCTAAGATTTGCAGCAGTAATTGGGGAAGACTAGACACTCATCTCAGTGTCTCAGTGACTCATTCAGCTATGTTTAAACAGTGGAAACCAGGAGTAATTGCCCTGACCATGCCCTAGCACAGCCTGTCTGCACAACATAAAAGCAAACAGGTACATACTGTCCCAGATAATCCACCTAAGTTCTAGAAACTGCTTCATGAAGTGCTATTTTATTGACAGGACTGAAGTTTCAGTAAACTTTCTGATTTCCCCCCTCATGAAATAATGTCATTTCTCTCTTCACCATTTCACAGTAAAAACACATTTTTACTGTGTTCAGGAAACATTTTACATTTCTAGTGTCAGTAAGTATTTCACTTGATTTGCAACATCTGGTACAGAAAGAAGACTTTTTGGTCTGAAATTCTCTGTTTTGTTCCTGATGTCATTTTATTTTTTAAGGAGTTTAGCGATCTCCTGTCCCTCTGCATACTAGGCAATTTTAAATCACATTTATTTTTTACTTCTTTCAAGCCACCAATCCACAGAAGGTCCGATCTGAATACATTTAGTCCTGGCTACTTGCTGCTCTTTAACTCACCAACTCTCCCCACGTGCCACCATAACCTTTGGAGGGCTACAACCAATTTAGCTGCCCTGACCACTGGGTGCTTGACACAGTAATGGCATGAAGCGAATTATGGAACTAGTAAAAATGAAATTGCTCCTCATAAGGCAACCCCAAATCTCTCGGAATATACAACAGGACTTAAAGCAGCACGAATCTTGTTCTCAGCAGCCAAGCCACAGAGGCTGGGGAAAAGAAGCTTCTCTCACCCTGAAGTAATTGCGAAAGGGGCATCGAGGTTGGTGACAAGACAAAACTAGGCATATAAACCCTGTTCAGCCCAGTTTTACCACACCAGCTAACAAAGCCAGGGAGGGATAGGGCAACAAGGCCCCAGTGTGCACAACCCTTCTCCTCTATCATGTCAGGAACTCCCCAGGAAGGTGAGAATGGCTGAAGACTATTTCCACCCTATCCGACTGATACCCAAAATAAACATGGAGCAAAGTTCCAAAATGCCGTGGGTAAATGGCTTTGCAATTTGAAAGCAATTTCTCTTTTCTCACCTGAATTTTGTCCTCATTAAATATTCCATCAATTAGGAAGTATGTCCAGAATACTGGCCACTCACATTCAATATTCTCAAAGAGCTTGAGCTCAGCAGGATCATAGTGTAGCCTACTTGGATCCTAAAAAATTCAAACACACTTGTTTAGTCACAGTGCTAATTTAGTCACCCATATTCCAATCATAATGGTAGCCTGTTTTATACAAGTAATTAAAACCTAAAAACCAATAAACCCACCAGAAATAGTTTCCATGCAATCTCCTCGCTTTTTTACATTCGGCCTCAAACTCATTTAATGTTTCCCTAGACAAATCGACCCTTCCTAGCCTCAGAATGTGTCACCCAAGTAATCCTGGCTTTGCTTCGGTTCAAAGATACTTTGAAATGCTTCAGGGACACTGCTTCTGCTTAGACACCATAAGCATATCTAAAGATCAATTTCTTTCAGAATTATTAATTACATTTTGTCCTTAATAAATGGTTTTCAAACCCTTAGCCTCCTTCACATATGTGTCATTTCTAGGGTGGATACCTGGATTACCTCCAAGTCCACTAAGATGTCTTAGCAGTGATGGAGAACTTTACTCCTTCATGTAAATAAGACAAAGTATGTCTATAAAGAAGAGATAAAATTCTTCCTAATGCCTACTGAAAATACACATCAGAAGTACCTCTCTGGGTGTCTTGTAACCATCTCGGAGAAAGCGACAGCAGCCATAGCGGCCCTGTAAAAACACACAAAATTACAGAAAATTACACATACTGTTCTTCCTCACAGACTAACATAACAAGTGCTGAGATTTAAGGGTCACTTCGAGATTTTCCTTCCTCTCTTACAGGCACAGATGAACCAAGTCTGGCAACCCTTGTTTAATCAGAATTTTTGGTTAAGAAAGAGAGGTTCTGTTTCTTTTTCTTTCTGTAAAACAAAAATAAAGGAAATTCTTACCTGCAATTTGGATATGATTTCACTCTTGGTTACATTAACAAGGTTTAGATCCTCCACTGCAAAAGCTGGGTAAGAAATAATAGAGAGAAGGCCAGCATCTATCTCCTTTGACGTGGATGCCCTTGGCAACATGGAGTATAGAATAGACTGAGCAAAACAAGAATAGAAGAAACGGATGTGAAACAATTTACATACTTCAAAAGACTATGTCAAGTGTAAATGGAACAGACTATATTATTTGCAAACTGACAGGGAACTCTCTGCATAGTTATTTTTAAACAAGTTAGAATGCGAATGCTTCACGCCACTCAGTTTCTCATGATCTGCTAGAACAGGGTGAACAGCATAGCCTGCAGCCATCCATATTACATTGAGTTCTTGGTTCAGTTAATCAACATTTCATTTAAAAACAAAAGGGAGAGGGTTAGTTTTTCCCCTAGCAAATGAAAGAGAAGACTAATTTTACCTGACAGTGTTCTACTTCATCAGGAAGAACATGAATCACTGATTTGTGTCCTCCATGAGCTCCAAAAAGATCTAGTTCATCAATTGCTTCCAAAGCAGCCTTCAAAGAAAAGCAAACCACAAACCAAAATCATTAGATACCTTTTAAACCAAGTATACACCATAGCACCTGTGCTTATCCTCTGAAGGAGTTTATATAAGACATAAGTTTGCTCCACAGACATTTTTTATTTAAAGGGAAGCTTGGCAGTATTTTAGAAGAAGTAAATATTTCTGTCTTTTCACTAGCTGGATACATGATTGATGTGCTGGTGATCCTTCTTACAATTTAAAGGCAATGCAAAGCAATGGAGAGCTGGGCTTCCACTGAGACATCATCTAAACAGTGAAGTACTTAGTTATAAATGTCATGTCCTGTCCTACATTCCAAAATAACTCCCATTCAGTGTCCTTTCCCTCCTCCTGCCTGAAGAACTGCCCAAAGAGGAAGACTTGTTCAAGGCAACCCAGAATCAGCAAAGGCTGACCCCTTAAGAAGAGACCTTCAGCACCTCTCTGATACCGTCACTTCCCGAGCGGAAGAGAAATGAGATGTCTGATCTCCCCACAGCCAACTGAGGCACACAGTGCTCCATGCCAACAGGTGAACCACTACATAAAATACCTCTTGGCCATAGTGCACTTGCCTGGTGAAGACACTATCAGCCCAAACACTGACTCAATTTGACACTCCTACTTTAACCTAGCAGGCTACAAAACCTGACTTTGAAGAATTGGGGTGTGCAGCACCACACAGGGAGTGTGACAGGAAAAGAGAAAGGACTGGATGGCCAGGGCCAGGCTAGCAGAGCCCTCCTCCGAAATGCAAATTCATAGGGTTGTGGTAACACTGAATTGTTGCCTGGTTTTGTCCTGCAGCTTCATGGACATGCAGCTTCTCTGACAAAGGAAGGACCACACAGGACAGCTTTCCTTATCTCTCTGCAGAGGAGCAAGGATATTTTTCTTATTCCAACACAAAGATGGGTTTACTGCCTCTGCAGAGCCCCTCTCTCTAGACCAGCACTACAGCAGCAGATGTTCCTGACAGTGGCAGAAAGTCCTGTTTAGGAACTGATAGCTGGGACCAGGGACAGTTTTAATGGTGCAGAAAAGGTTCTGAGAACCACTCAAAGGCATATGCTCTGTGCTGTGCTGTTGCCATGGGTAGCCACACAAAGCAGGTATGGGACAGAATTCCTGAAGCACATTTAAAACAAAGAGCATCTACCTCAGCTTCTGCAGCAGGCCCTTCACTGTGCCCACCACCAGCTCCCATCTGAAACAGCACTTCTATTGAACTCAGATCCCCAGAGAAGTTGTGCAGCAAGTTCTGCAGATCATCTCGACATCAACAGGTCTGGATGTCACACAGAGACCACACCAGAATGTTCAGGGTAAAAAAATCTCACAGTGGACATCTAAGGAACAACTGCCCTGACAGACACTGCCCCATCACTGTTCAACTGAACTGTAGGGCCAAGACCAGCAGTTTCTCCCTCTTGCAATGCACACAAGATCTTGGTAACTAACAAACCCTGCTGAAATGCAAATACACCTTTGACCTTAATGATCTTTGTCTTCTGCCAGTCCTCCAGACACCAAGTGAAAAGTAGTTATTGATTACACATTTACATTTATGGTCTTCTGAACTTCTTTTAGTATCTCTGTGACCTTGTGCTATGGGGGAACGAGAAATATCCACTTTTTTTTAAAGTACATCTTCATTTATTTTTCTTTCTGAATTACTTGTGAAGAATTTCTTAGACTGATAGTCTGCTGTTTTCCAGAATTTACATCAGATTTAATCTTACCATGAAAACATCACATATGATACTGGGGCTGGAGAATTAAGAAAGAGGGAAAGAAAACCAGAGGCCACTTTATGAGACTGCACCTTACTGAATCTATTAGATTCACAGTTCAATGAATCTGGTACCCTACTTGCAATCCCTGGAACAACTGTGCTGAGGTCCTTCAATGAGAGCCATTATCCCAAAGATTTTACGCTAAAAAATACTCACTCACACCCAAACAAGAATTCTTACACAATCAGTCAACTATTGCAGTGGCCAAGAAGACTATGCAAAGGGAGCGATCGGGTTTGACAGAGCCCTTCAGCACAACACAACAGCCACGAAGGAGGTGTCAGGAAGACATTCTCACTTTGGCCATCCCTACGGAGCTTGCGTTCAGTTCAGGGATGCCCTGGTTTGTCTTATCACCACGTTCCCAAATTCCATAATCCTGCAACAACATCATGACGAAAAAAATGGCATTATTATATACAAACACAATGTTTCCCCCCCTTGCCCCACAACAAATCCAGACTCCTGCATGAAATTAGCTTATAATTGGCCTTCAAAAAAAAAAGAAAAAAGAAGGAAAGAAAAGGGGCTTTAAGTCTCCAAAGAGACCCTGCTCATGTTTAAAGAGCAGCACATAAAAGTATACTCCAGCAGGGTCAGGTATACAGTCATGAATCACTGCCTTCACAAAACACACAAAGCCCTTAATCCCTCCCCCGTACATGTTTCTCCCTGTGTCCCCTCAACTTATCACTTTCCAGAACGCTTGTTACCATCCTGCTCTTTTAGAAAGGGCCCAAAAGATTTTAATTAGACATCAGGAAATATTATTCATCATCATCATCATCATCATGGCTAGGCTTCACGGACAAAGATTTGGGAAGGGCTCTACCCACGTTTGTTACAAGCGTGCTGGTGGCTAAAAAGGCCAATACAAGATAGACATGTCTGGTTGCAAAAGGCACAGCAGAAAGACTCCTTATCAATTAAAAACCCCTCTGTTATTATGACAGAACAGGTGTACCTCACCCATGCAGCAGCAAATCCTCCACAGCCCTCCCAACATCTCCAAAGATGCTGCTCACAGTGTAAAGTACTGACAGGTTCTGATACCTTCTCATGAAAAAAGCAAGTCCCTGTTTTCCTTCTCCATCAGTAAATAATTTTCCACGTAAACCTGAGCAGCATTCAGATGATTTACATATAAATAACTACTTACAGCAACTTTGTAGGCAGCTTCTATGTAGAAGACAAGATTCTGAATAAAGGTAACTTCATCGAGGGTGAAGATAATACGTAACCCTGATCAAAAGAAGGGAAGGGATTAATTATACTGTATCAGAACTGAAATATTTACTCTTCAATAAGTTTCATGCTTTTGTTTATTTGCTACCAACTACTGCCCACTGAAATCAAAGGAAAAACTCATACTGATTTCAGTAGGTCAGGCAGCAAACCTCAATACTTGCTACTGACAAAATACTTCAAATGCCACTAATACATACGGTTTCAAAGAACACCCCGTAGGGGTGGCATTCAGACAGTGGGTACAAAGCAGAGACATCTGAGTCAGCTCTGGATCTTCAGAGCACTGCATACCAATACCCACAGCTCCCCACCCCTCTGCCTGCTTAGTGCTCTGTCGAGGAACTCCAGGACAACCAGGTGCCCACTAGGAAGGGGTCAACCTCAAGGGTCTCCAAGGGCAGAAAAATATGTAAGGAAACAAATCCTTGAGGAGTGCAGTAGAGAGGAACACAAGATAAAACTGCACCAGTAAGAAAAGGAACAGATGGCACAAAGTGGCACCTGATTTGATGTCACCACTCTCTGAAGAAACTTGGTTGTCCATCAGGACACTATCTTTAAACATGAGACTTCTCTGACATGACTCTCAATATCTCAGTATTTGTATGCCAGTAATCATTAAAGGAATAGACACTGCCAGTTACTATAAACATGAAATCCTAAGTAAGTCCTATCTCTTTTCCAGAGAAACATTACTTCCAAGTTATAATTATTTAAAGGTCTTTAAAGCTTGTTACTACTTTATTTTTCCTTTTAAAATGAATGCTAGAATAGAAAAAGACTGCAACAAAAGGCAAAAATATCTTCTGCTTACCTGATGCAGTCATCTGTGCCAAGAAGAGCAGGTAAAGGGAAGTTGCATCCACTTGCAGATGCCCCCACTGGTCGTCCCCAACCACTGTGGCACAAGTTGCAGAGTTATACTTGGCATGGAGGCAGTCTTTGGTACTCTGTGTGCGTTTGAACCTCTCTACCTTATCTACCTAAAAAATACCACAAAACTCAAAGTTGAAACATTTCAGAAGAACTATTTCAAAATTAACAACTTTTCTTAGATGAGGAGAAACTTGAGGTTCTAATTCCTGTTACCTCACTTCAATGTATTTTGATTGATCAGAGTGCTTAAACACAACTCTGACTTTAGACTCCAGTTAAATCCACATTTCTACAGAAAAAGAATCAGATGAAATTACCTTGCTGAGTTCAGATCTAAACTACAAGTGTGCATCTTAGTGAAAATCAGTTTGCAAAGGCAAAACTCTGATTTGCTACAAGCACAATCTCAAAAAAGTGCAAGCAAGATCAGAGTTTTGTTCAACAGTTTTAAAAAGATTCCCCACATCACCATATACACACATGCAAAAACAGTCACTCCACAGAAGACATAGCAAATATATGCTTCAATGAAATGCTCTGTAAATACAACACATAGTAATTCAACCCATACCTATGACATTACCTGTCTCATCATGCACTGCAAGAGTCCCCGCATCAGCTTCACAACATTCTGCAGGAACAAAACACAACAGTGACACCCTCACTGGTCAGCCTCATCAGCTGTTACAAACAACATTCAAAAGTGATAAAGCTCACACACTCTACTAACGTCCTGTCAAAGGTAAAAAAAGTGTGTATTTGCCCAAAATGCTCTACATGCCTTTTTTTTTTTTTAAATACACTCATCAATTTTTATTCCTACATCCCTACCTAGAAGAACAAACCTTTTCCCAAAGGCCCTCTCTAAAGAGTGGAACAACTCTCTGTGGTCCTTCTATCCAGCTAAGGAAATAAGAGGAATTCTATGTCCTCTAATTATCATTATTATTATCATTATTATTTTTACAGTGACAGATCCAGGGAGCACTGGTAGGTGACTGAAAGACATTGACACGACTGGAAGACCTATAAAGCTTCTTCTGCTCCTTATACAGTACAACAGAAAGCAGGTGACCAGTGTAAAGAAAGGGTCATACATCTGAATGTAGAGAAGTACAAGATTTTGCCTTAAATAAAGAAATCAACCCCATCTTTTTACTCAAAAGCTATAGCCTCAAAATATGATCATGCAGAACCAAGGTTATTCTGTCACCACAGATCTCCTTGGTTTGAGCAGGACATGTCAGCAAAAAATTTACCCAGTGACTTCAAAATGACAGCAGGACACTGGCACCATAATCCCTCACTTGCCATTCAACCCACCTCTGCACTCTCACTTCTAATATCCACTTTCCCAGCTGCAAGTAAAGAAATTAACTGTGGGAGTTACCTCCCCTTCCAATTCTCCAGCACGAGTCTTACCAGTTTGGAGAGTTACCTTCTCTGGATTGATCAAACACATCTACACACCATGTACGACCTCCATGAGATGACACAAGTGCACATTCTGAAGACAGCTACTTTAAATGGCATGCTCATCCTTACAGGGAAGAACGGTCTAGCAGATAGATTGCTACCATAGCATCCAAGCAACCTAGGCCTGATTTTCTGTTCTACAATACAACTCATAAGGGACAGGCTTCTAAATCTGGGCACAAAATCTCTCAGAAGCCTAATTTTCAACAATTGGCCAACGGATGGAAGTTTGACTCCTACACGTTTTTGTTCTGTTTGCATTTTAATTGAGATGTTAGCCTCTCTGCCATGCAGTTCTCCAAATCCTGCTTGCCAGAAGGTTGCCAGGGATACTGCACACCACACGCTGCATGGATGTTGGAACAAGACATGTACTCCAAACTGGGAAAACCCTGCCAGACCCCAGACACAGCAGCAGTGTGAATGCACTCTTCAAAAACACCACTGTATGAAAAAAAACAAACAGTATAACTGGTTTATGCCAAACTTTGACAAACCTGCTCGAGCTCGTAGGCTTTGGCCTTATCCTCGTCCCGGTCCGCATTCTTCCGATAAGCCATTCCCAGCCCCCACACGGCCAGGATGCTGTAGACGTTGTCCCGAACCCAGGCATCTTTATGGTCTGCACCGGCTGAAAGCAGCCCCGTAACTGGATTCTAACCACGGCAGAAGGAATAAAGAACAAATATTACTACCTGAAGTCCCATCCATTAAGAAGCACCGCTTCTTTCTGTATTAAAGGGTAACAAAATAAACATGATTTCACGCTGATTGCACACTGTGGCTGCTCACAATTTCACAACAGAAGTGAGGTCCCATCTTTCTTTCCCAAACTCATGTAAGTGAAATGTAAAATTCATTTGAACACTTCAGGATGTAAAACTTACAGTATCCAGCTGGGCATTCTCATCCACACAGGATTGTTAGCTAAGTAACTGAGTGAAATTCTAAATACATTGAGGAAATAGGAATTTAAATTTTAGATATTTGTGAGGAAAAGAGAGTACCAGTCAACATTAGAAATTCAGTCTGGAAAATATTCTTTTCTATGCATCTGATCTCTGACATAATCTCGAGAAAGTAAAAAACCACTACTTATCTTCTAGGAGATTAAAAAAGTATTTCTGTATATCTGCATATCTGCCTGCTGGGTTTATGACAGCTAAATGAATGCATGCAAAGCCTTTTTATATTCTCCTTTGGAAAAAGTACAGAAAGACAAATTCTGAAGGTGTTGAAAAGCAGCACAGTGAGTAGCCTCCTGCACTCCAAATACTCCATTACATTTTTCATTGCATCATTGATTCCCATCACTTCACTATCCATAATTTTTAAGACTGTCTTTCTCGGCTGTATGTTCTGCACTAATAAAAAAATGAGGCAAAGAAGGAAGAGGTCGATAGAAGTTTCAGTCAAATTAAGCCTTTACAGAAAATTTCAGTGAATGAAGACCAGTTGCCAGGGCTGACGTGACAAGGGGCAAAGATTACAATAATAAAGATGAGTAAAATTTAAAAGAATACATACACCAATTTGTCATTTCTCCCACACACTGTTTACTCAACTCCTTCCACAGTCATTTTTAAGAAGCCGCTTTGAGGGGGAGGAGCTTCAGTTACAATTTCCTGGGCTTTGCATGTGACCATTGAACACCACAGGGGTGACAGCCTGACAGACCTGACTGGGCACAGTCTGCCCTATTGTTATGGTTTAAATACAGCAGTGCTTAGTGGCTCCCTGACAGCAGAGATGTGTCTCTGCTGAAACAGTCCCTCCTCAGCGCGGTCTCCACAAACCAAGTAACAACTGGAGGATCCCTTACTCACCTGTTTGATGGGGAAAGTAGCACATATGAATGCAAACAGCTTAAAAATCGTCATTTTGATCTTGAAAAGTCAAGCAAGGAGTAACAGAAGAACAAGTATGCAAGCAGAAAAGGAAACCCCGGTCCCAGTTCGGCACTGTGCCCACAGGACAAAACCCAGGATCTGAAGAGGCAGACAGCGTATTCCCAGCATTTTTAACACTTTAGTTCTCTCTCTCCCTCCCATGCAGGACAACAAATGTCTATGCACCTGCAGCCCTGGCTTAATAGAGATCACCTTGTTGTCTGAGAAACGATCCTTTTAGTTTATTTTTCCCCACTCAATGTTGGGCTGGCTGCCAGTTGAAAAATAAAAATGTCTCTGGGTACCAAAATGGAAATCCCAGAAAAATGGCCCATGCAAGACTTTAAAAGACTTTTCAGCTCCCAGGGAGGGACCTGCCTACCTTCAAGAGGCTGTATTAAACACATCCAAGGGCAGCTATCACCATTTGGGAACCTTTGGTTCCTCTACAAGATGGTCCCGGTTTTTGGGGCACACTGGGGCTGCTTCTCATGGACTGACAACACATTATGTCTTTCTTCATGCACATTTGGACTTTTAGCAGAACAACATAATATATGAATTAATATTTTAAGTGGTTTTGCTCTGAATTTTTTAGAAAGTGTTTACTCTTAAAAACTACAATTATTTGCTTCTGTTACCTGCTGACACCATACGAAAACTACAGCACTTACAAGGTGCTAAAGAACTCAAGAGAAACACTGAGTGCACTTAATCCCACAGATGTCAAAGGGATTTTAGCTCAATTAGTACTTCAAAGCATTACATCTATGCAGTGATTGCTAATTGGACTAGCAGGTCTCATCCTGCAAATCACATTGCACATACAGATCCACAGAGCAAAGAATTTTACCAGCACCCATGGGCTCTCAGATGAGAGTGCTGCAACAGAAAGCTGATTGCTAGACTAAGACTTTAAACTGTTGTATCATGCCCAATCCTATTTTTAAATCTGTCTCTTAATCTGGAGACAAAAAAAACCCCAGCAACCCAAACCACAAAACATACCAGTTCCTACAGGGCAGCATGCACTAATAAGAACTTCAGCAGTACAGGCACAAAAACAAGGGGGTTCTAACCAGACTAGCAAAACAAATAAGCCCACATTTGGCATCTTGCTGAAAATCTATTTTATTTGCACCTGTCTCATTGATCTGTCAGATGAAAACTGCTGTAAGATCTAGCAAAGCCTGCAGATAGCTTGCTTGTGTGAAACCAGATGTAACACAGTTGGGCTTAATCATAAAAGTATGACAGATGTGCTTTCCTTATCAGTTCCATATGCTTTCCACTTATAGTACTGTACCAATATTTAAAATGTACACAGATGTTAAGTTTTACTATTTTATGGGCATATCTTAAGATTCACATTTTTTCTTATCTCCTTCAATTTAAGAGCTGTAATAAGCAGCTGAGAACATCCTTCTGGTGGTGCTCTTCAGTGTCTGCTCTGCTACAGCACCGAAGCATCCCTCTGTCCCCTGCCCCTGGGGGTACATGGAACTGCTGGCAGATCCCACACAGACAGGAGCCAGCTGTCTGGTCTTAGCCTCCTTGAACAACCTTTAACAGGACCAGCAGAGACTGATCAGCAGAATGCAACATCTGCAAAGTGAGAACAAGTTTGCTACTGACCCCATCCTGCAAGGTTCCACACAAGGAAAACTGTCAACCCTGGTGCAGGGTCCGGACTTGTGCTTTGGACACGTCTGCCTGGTAGCACATATGCATACTCTGAATTAAAAATTACCTCTAAAATCACATCAATTTAGAGTGATTGGAATGAACACAAGATCAATTGCTGCTTCTGAGAAACCTGACTCCCGATGTATTAAACACCTTATCAAAGCAAAATGTTAACACACTACATGTTGTCCTTGTTGCACCCCTACAAAGGCGAGTGTGTCACCACCCTCCATCACAGCACAGTTGGTGTGCCAGGTCTGCACTCCGGCAGCTTGTGGGTGTGAGGTACATGGTCACAGCCACACATCACCCCTGTGATGTACATGGTCACAGCCACACCCCCCTGAGCGGTGACACCTCACAAGCATTTTAAATGCCTTCTGGCTCTTCTGCCAGGCTGCTCTGGGTCAAACTGATGGCTAAAATCCCCCTCCCTGGCACCAAGAAGGCACCAGCAGCAGCAATGCAGCAGCCCAGCCCATCCAGCCACAGATAATTCTGCTACTAAGGAAGTCAGGATTGCATGTGGCCCAAAGACAACCATCCTAACTTACCCAAGTAAGCATTGCATCTCTCCACCCAGCTGAGCACAACATTTTCAATCTATTGCAGTGAAAAACCATAAAGGGCATAGATACAGGAAAAAAATCTAGAAGCATGCCTTGAGCATCTCTCTGGGCCCCCTTGTGATATTGCTGTCCCTCTGCCTTGCTTCTAGCCTGTGGCTTGCTTTCCACATACAGAAGAAAACTTTCCTTTCTCTACCTCTGAAGTCTCCCAGACATTAGGCCCTTAGTGGAAAAGGCAATACACAGTCACAAACACTCATCCTGGCACTGTAAGTAGCAATTACAAAATTCTAGGTCACCGATATAAACTCCTGTATTACCATTTAGTTATCCTTTTTACTATTGTTAAATATTAGTATCATTAAGGCACAGTTTTTATGGGGCATGTTTGAGCTTTGATCTCAGAGGCTCTATCTCTCTTCTAAATGAAGGCTGTTATCATTATCTTCATCTCATAAAAATGGAAAGCAAGGCAGGTACTGGAAGCCAAAGTGATTTGCCCAATCTCATCCTGCAGACAAAAGGCAGAGACAGGAGCACAACTCTAAGCATCTCCTGCACCCCTGCACAGCGAGAGAGCAAAATTATCTCTTCACACCACTTATGTTCCAGATGTTCTTGTATTTTTTTACAAATACAAGAGTTCACAATAACAAGTACACAAACACCAATTCACAGGTGTCTGGACACTGTGCCCACAACAGCAGTCAGTGACAAAAATCTTATTGACCTAGGAAGATTTGGGTCTTCTTTTCACTGCTTTCCAGTTTCTTGAAACTCTCAGCAACAAAGGATATTTGGTAACTGATTTGAGCAAGTAACTCTGTTGCTCTCATCTTTATGTACTAGACTGTTATAACCGAAGCATGACACTGCTCAGCACACTGTGAGTCCTCAGAGCCAGCCTGGGTGAAGCGAGCACACAAAGCAGAGAGCACTGCACTGACCAAAAAGCACAGGGTGAGTAACGGCCTTCCCCAACCATCTCCGCTATCTTCATTCTTTCACTGCTCACATGTGCAGGCAGCCCCGTCCGACGAGTCAGAGCCCCAGCAGTGTTAACAGCGGGAGAAGAGACTGGAATCTCTGGGACGTGCCCCGCCGCACACACGTGCCGCAGGGAGCACACAGGGAGCCCTGCGCTGTCCCGGATCCACACTGAGTTGTGCTGACAGACACGGCCCAACGGCCCTGCTCAGAGCTCTTATGTTACTGGGGCTTAATGGTGTATATATATATATATATGAATATATATATACATGCTCATATACACACTATATATATATATATTCATATATATATAGTGTGTATATAAATCAAAGAATCAAAGAATATACTGAGTTGGAAGGGGATCATCTCGCTCATCGAGTCCGACTCCTGGCCCTGTGCAGGACTCGCAAGAATCACATCATCACACTATATGCCTGAGAGCGTTGTCAAACTGCTTCTTGAACTCTGCTGTCAGTGGCCACTTCCCTGGGGAGCCTGTTCCAGTGCCCAACCACCCTTTGGGTGAAAAACCTTTTCCTGATATCCAGCCTAAACCTTCCCTGACTCAGCTTCATATCGTTTCCTCAAGTCCTGTCACTGTTCACAAGCGTGAAGAGATCGGAACCTGTCCCTCCAATTCTCCTCGTGAGGATGCTGAAGATCACAATGAGATATATCCCCTCAATGGGAGGGGATGGCCACGAACACATTACTATCATTATAAAGTACAACAATTTGCAGGCTCAGGCTCGCTGTATTTTCCACACGCTTTCCAGCGTGCATGAACACAAGCGACAGCGAGCACCGCCCGGATCCGCAGCGCCTCAGCATTCCCCGCGCTCCTCCCCCGGCGGGCACAGGAGATGCGGAGGGGAGGAGGCCGTGCGCCGGCTGGAGGGGGGATGTTCTCCCACCGGCCCCGTCGTGGCCCCCCTGCACCCAGCCCGCCGCCACCGGCCCCGGCAGCTCCCCCGCACCCCCCATCACAGCCTCATCGCACCGGGAGCCCCCGCCCCGACCAGGCGCCCGGGAGCGGCGGCCGCGCTCACCTGGTGGCAGAGGATGGTCCGCTGGACCAGGCGGGCGTAGCCGTCCAGGCGCACCCCCGAGTTGCTGCGGCTCCTCATCGTCCCACGGCCAGCCCGGCTGCCTGGCCCGGCTGCCCGGCCCGCCCGCTCCCCTCCCGGCCGCGATCGGGGCGGGGACAGCCGGAGATGGCGGCGGCGGCCTCTCCCCTCCTTCCCTGGGCGGTGGCGGGAGCGCCAGCCCGCCCTCCCGGCGGGGCGGGGCGGGACCGGCCTCCTGCCCCCGCCAGCACCGGGCACCGCGGGCTGATGGGACCGAGGACCCAGCAGGGGAGAGGCCGTAACGCGAGAAAGGACAAAAACATTTGTAAAAATGCGGCATCTGTTAAAAACAAAGTCGATTTTATCCATCCTCTTCTAAGTTCGTAAAATAAAATTGAAAAGATCAGAATACTTATTGGAAGCTTTTTTCCTTTTTTCTTCCCGCCCCCCCCCAGCCTTAAGAAACGCCACAGTTCCGAGATCTGATCCAATGAAGAACAAAAAAAACCCAAAACAACCCACACACACAAAAAACCCACAAACAAACAAACAAACCAACCTAAAAAATCCAAGGCTTTATCAGGTGTTTTCACACCTCAGCCCCAGCCTTGGCTTTCCCACTCAACAAAGAAACAAGACTTGCGAGATTTCTGAAGGAAACGAACCTGCTATTCCCACAGGCATTCCCAAGGGGCACTGAGCAGCTGGGCTTCTGACTTGATTTGCCCCTGCCTTACCGCAGTCTGCAGTTCCCCAACAGGAGCAAGGAGCAGGAATAAGGGATGTCAGGCAAATAGAACCAAGAAGTTTACAAACACAAACCACAACATGTGTTACATTCAGTTGCAAAATCTTCAGCACCTTCCCTCTGTGCTCCTGGCAATAGGAAGTAAAAGTGTGAAGTGTAGATGGGTGTGGAAGCACTAAACAGATGTTGCAGAGTAGCTGAAGGTGCGGGATTTACTCATTTCAAAAAGGATTTTTTTCCATTTTTTTTTTCTCACGTGAAATTGCAGCATTAACAGATTTAATATTGTAACTTTTTCTTGCTGTGCTTCCTTCATTGACTATGTAACTGACAACCATGGTTGAGAGAACAGCATTCAAAGGAGACACTTTCCTTCAGCGAATATCAGACACCTACACCCTATAGGTTTCACCAGGAAGGGACAAGGCACTACTTGAAGGTTCACCATCTCCATCTGCCAGAGCTGTGCTGTCCCAAGACCTGGACCAGTTCACTCCCCTAAACTCCACACCAGCTCCTTGCTTCAGGGCACTGCTTTTTACAGACACTGCCTGCACTGAGGGAACAGGTTTGCTGAGCAAGGTGATGCCAGCTGTACATGGCAGGTTGCTGTTTATCCATGACTAAGCTTAAAACCTCCTTGCAGATGTCCCCAAGTTAACTTTGCACCCACGAGTTGATGCACAGAGTTTTACTCTGTGCTCTGGGAAGGGGTTGCATCTTTCCCCAAGCTCTGGGTGCCATGGCTAAACTCCTAGCAGTGCCCAACAGACCGAGTACCAAAAGGATACCATAACACCTAATGTGAAAACACATTTTCAGCTAGTTTAATGATGATGATTATTCACTGAGCTAAAATAATATGCTGGTATGAGCACAAAATTTTGCTACAATATGTGCGTGCTTTTAAGTGGCAAAGTCAGAAAGGGCTCCCCACCCCTAGGAATATATAAAATAAAAATTATTTAAAGAAGCCTAACATATCTTAGTGTGCAAAAAAATAGAAACAAAAGGAAGATTCCAAGCAGGTCAGTGACAGCGGAATATGTGTTTTCATTGGGAATTTAACTACTGAAGCCAAATGCAGCTGTGTGCTTTTGCTTATAGCATACTTGTGGGAGAGCTTCAGCAGACTTGGACGGGCATTGGCCGGACAGACTTACCACGGTTTTCTCTGCTAAAATCCAAATCTTCTAGAACTGTGAAAGGTAAAATCCGTGAGAGACAATTAATGTAACAGCTAGGTCAGCATTTTCTCCAAGAGGTTACTGCAGTTCATGTAATCTGAAGAATTGTAATACAGGCCAGTATTAATGACACATTCATCTAAAAGACAAAGTTTATATATTTTATGTGTTGTATTTGCTGCAAATTTATTACTTTTTTTTACAGTTGAAAATATAAATATAAGAACATTAAATAAATTTACAAGAAACACTGCAAAGGCAATTAGCCAAATAGTTAAAGCATTCACAGAAATGCATTCCAGCTACTAGCATTCCAGGATGGGCTTTTATTAACATGCAGCTAAAACCATGCGGATAAACACAGCGAATACTTTAAATTCTCACATTAAAAACATATTCAGAGTAATCTTAGATATAGGTGACCGAAAAAACCCATGTGTTATCCACAGAACCACAAGAGGGTTTGAGTACTGAAGAGGTTCAGTTGCTGAACTGCAGCAGAGCCCCAGATAGGAGGCATTTAGCTGATGCTTTTTGTTGAGAAGAGTGTTTCCAGAGCTCCCTGCTGAGTCCTCTGGGAAAGCAAAGCCCTTGCTCTCCTTCAACATGCATCTGCTTCACACATCCCCCTTTACAGGGTCTGTTACTCTGCAGTCAGGTGCCAGTTTGTTCTAGTTCTTGCTCCAGGAGCATCCAGCCTTTGACCAAGAACACAGATTAAAAAAAGCAGTGGTCACAGCCACACACCTGTGTGAGGAAGAAGAGGTACAGCCAGGGCTCAGGCTAATTTCTGTTCAGGAAGAATCTTCAAAACGTTGTATGGGCTTTCAGTTGTTTTGCATGAAGAGCAAAAATCCAGCCTTTATCAGGCAAATATCACAAGGGGAATGAAATTTTGCTTCAGCACTTACTGAGCAAGGGCTTCGGGATTTGGTTTGCCAACCAAGGGCCAAAGCACAAGCAGAAATACTCATTAGAATAGCCCAAGAGCTGCCCCTTAAAAAACAGCCACACAATGAAGTAAACAATTTCTCAGCTACTAAACATAGCAGTTGGTACTTATTATTTCTATTTTTTTTCCCAAAAACCCACAAACTTCTCTACTTTCATCATTGCAAATGAGAGATGGCAGTGTGTATAATCTCTGGAACCACCACTCAAGACAAAAACTGACTCTGCTGAAATCAGTGGCAAAAATTCTGATGGACTTATTCAAGCCACAACATAACTTAGTTGTATTTAATAACCCTCTGACTACTTTACTTATCACTCCCTCATTCATGGCACTCTAGTTGGATTATATTCAGTTTTTATCCCTCTGTCGTGTACTAAAAAGTTGCTAGAGGTTCAAGACTGATCGTGTTTGTTATTTACAGTTCTCCATCTAGTGAATATATTCAAACCACTGTAAGTGATTCCACTTACTCAACAAAGTAACTTCTATATCATTCTGTTAAAGTTAATTAACTAAAGAAAAATATGAACTTACAATAAAAGTTAAAAACAAAATACCAATTATTTTTCTATACATAGGAATATTTATATTACAAGAAATAAATATAAAATTATCATTGAGATGCTTAAGAGTTGATATTTTTCTGTTTATGTACATCACTACAGAGTTTACTACTACAACGTACAAAAAGTTGAGGACAGTGTAGCTAACATTTTGAAAGTTAACATCGTTTGTATGGACAAGTTGTAACTTTCTACATCTATACAATACTACTAAGCATTATAACCAGATAAACTTAATTGTAATAAAAAAAAGTCTAAACAAAACTTTTGTTCAGATGTAAAAAAAAACCCTCAAAAAACCCATTCTGATGGAGAATCAAAATGGAAATGTGCCAGCTGTAATCTGACATCCAAGACCTTGTAAAAATAGTAGCTTCCTTTTTTTTTCCTTTAATAATTGTCCTTGTCAATCCATTGCATGGCTGCCTTGAAGTTCCAGTACCATATATTAAATAAAATCAGTTCTTGGTGTGCTCACATTATGTAAAACTGTTAAAGTAAAACTCTACTTCACACTGTAAAACAATGTGCTGTTTAAAAGGAAATCACATTTTCTCCATAGAATTTAGGCTTCCTCTTTTTGAAGTCCTTCTGAGTGAGATGTGGCTTTCTTGGCTGCCAGTATCATCCTTGTCTTGAAATACAAGTTGTTTGCCTGAAAAGTCATGGAGACACACATCACCATTCTGTACACTGAAAAGAACACCATTCTTCTCACTGGAAAGATGGCCTGTTGAAACAAAAAAGTGCATCCCACATGAGAAAGGTTCAGAATTAGGTCTCCTATGTTTTTTCAGTCACTGAAGGGAGTTCCTAGACTCTCATTTTATCCCTGCAACAATTAAAAAAATGTGGATTTTTCTGTACTTATTTTGTATATAGTTCTCTGTGTGAAACCATGAGATTTGAGAGATGCACAATAGTGTCATAGATTTTCTTGTTTTAAAGAAAAAAAACAAAACCTTCTTTGGAATTTTTTCCCTTTACCACTGTGGAAGAAAGGTGTTGAGTGAGGGAGGGAGAGGAGATGGCCAGAGTGAGCACACACACAAAAGGACTGGCTAATACCCCCATATTCCAAGCTAATGTCTTCAGCAGACTGTAGGGGAAGGTGAGGTTTTGGTTTTTTTCTTCTGGGGACAGCACCTCACTTTTGCCCGGACTCAGGGAGGGAGGGTGTGTGAAAAGAGCGAGCTCCGGGATTCATTTTGTTTTCGGCCAAGTCATCTAGCTGCCTTTGGACCCGGTTCGCCTTGGTTCCCTCACGCCCTGTTCTGCCCACGGCCCGGATTTGCCTCGGATTTCATGGGAGAAGCCGGTAGCATCTGCAGAGGAACTTTTGAGGGGAAAAGATGTTCTTACACACACACACACACACACACTCCTCCTTCTCCGTGCCGGTGGCAGTTTACACCCATTGACGAGGAAGAGGAGTTCCAGCCAGAGCCTTCGACAGCGGGAGTCCACAGGAGGAATCATCCTCCCGCTCCTCCCTCCCCTTCCGTGCGGTCCCACCAGAGCCCAGCCGGGCTCCCTGCTGGCCCTGGTTAGAACTGCGCCGAAAAGTACTTAATTGTATTCGGAGGGAGTTTGGGTGCGGGACTGTTGCTTGTTTTCTTTTGTTGTGTTACCTATACACGTATATTCTTTGGTAAAGAGATGTTAT